ATTTATATATTTCTTCAAAATGATTTAGTAAAGTTATAGTACAAATTATTTGCAAACCAATTTCCGCAAATCTTGATGACTTTACAAATTGTTATGTTGACCTCGGTCCCATATTCGGTCAAATTTTTTTTACGCCACTCAGTTTATATGAAATACTTATACATATACAAAATAACTATAACTTTCTTCATTGAGATGCATAATATTCTATTACTATTAGAATTCGTACAAGTTTAACTAATATTTTTATTAAGTTAATGATAACTAATGGCAACTTGCGTATTTCATTTAAAATATTTCAAATGAAAAGTACATAATTAATAATTAATTAATATATTATTAATATAAATTTTGTAGGCGAAAGTAGGTCTGCGAGAAATGGAAACAATGGTAGCAGTCGGAGCAACCGTGATGAACGTAAGAGGGACCGCGATAGAGACGGGGATAGACGACGCGATGAAAAGAGAAGGAGGCGTACAAGATCGAGGTCTTTATCTAGGGATTATGAACGAGAAAGAGAACGCGACAGAGCGTAAGTGTTAACAAAGAAATTTATAAATAATTATAATTCAAATATTATTATAGTGACAGAAGGCAAATAGAAAGAGAACAGCGCGATTATAGAGATAGAGAACGTGAAAAAGAATGGGAGAAAGAAAGAGAAAGGGATCGTGAGCGAGAGAGAGAGCGTGAACGTGAACGTGAAAGAGAACGCGAACGTGAACGGGATCGAGATCGAGATCGTGATTCGGGATCAAGACGTGTAGCTTCTCCTCCGGTTATTATTAAGGAGTCTAGCAGTTCTTCTTCTGAGGAGGAAATCGATAAAGAGGAAGAACAACGCCGTTTAGAATTAGAAATGATCAAAAGAAGAGAACGAATCGAACGTTGGAGAGCAGAAAGAAAGCTTAAAGAATTAGAATCCAATAAAAAAGATTTAAAAAGTTTGATTCCACCTTCGGCTGCCACAGCTAAAAAATGGAGTTTGGAAGATGAATCTGAAGAGGAAGATAATGCTACAAATGATATCAGAAAAGAGGCCGAATCACCTCCCCCATCTAAATTTTTGAGCATCAAAGAAATAAAAGAAGAGGATGAAGAAGAGAAATATAAAAAAGATAAACCAAAGCCAAAGGAAATCGCAATAATTGTTGAAGAAAAAATTGAAACGAAAGAAGAGGATGATGATATTGATCCCTTAGATGCATATATGCAGGAGGTTGATAAAGAAGTGCGTAAGGTAAATAATTTTATAAGTCAACCTAAGAAGCAACAAGGAGTAGTTATCTTAACTGGTGTTGCTAAAAAAACGACGAAAACTATCAATAAAGGTGAATTAATAGAACAGAATATGGATAGCTTGGAGTATTCTAGCGAAGAAGAGTTAGAAGACATTAAAGATACGGCTGCGAACTTAGCAAATAAGCACAAAAAAGAATTAGCTAAAATTGATCACTCTGGTGTTGATTACTCATCTTTTCGAAAAAATTTTTATGTCGAGGTACCAGAGTTGGTACGTATGTCGCAACAAGAGGTAGAAAAATATCGTGCTGATCTAGAAGGTATACAAGTAAAAGGAAAAGGCTGCCCGAAGCCAATTAAGGTATATATAAATATGTTAATTTGTAGTTTTTAATATAAATTTTTTAACAATCTTACCTTCTAGACATGGGCACAATGCGGTGTAAGTAAAAAAGAAATGGACATTTTGCGAAAACTTGGATTTGAGAAACCTACTCCAATACAGTGTCAAGCAATTCCAGCTATTATGTCTGGACGGGATTTAATAGGTATTGCTAAAACTGGCAGTGGTAAAACGCTCGCATTTATTTTACCAATGTTTAGGCATATATTGGACCAACCGCGCTTGGAAGATGGTGATGGACCAATCGCAATTATTATGGCGCCAACCCGAGAATTGTGCATGCAAATTGGCAAAGATATACGACGGTTTTCGAAAAGTTTAACACTGAGGCCAGTGTGCGTATATGGCGGCACGGGAATATCTGAACAAATAGCTGAGTTAAAACGTGGTGCTGAAATTATAGTGTGTACTCCAGGTCGTATGATAGATATGTTGGCTGCTAATTCAGGTCGTGTTACAAATTTGCGGCGTGTTACATACGTTGTTTTAGATGAAGCAGATCGTATGTTCGATATGGGTTTTGAACCGCAAGTTATGCGTATAATAGATAATGTGAGGCCCGATAGACAAACTGTCATGTTTAGTGCTACATTTCCACGTCAAATGGAAGCCTTAGCTCGACGCATTTTAAAAAGACCAATAGAAGTTATTGTGGGCGGTCGTTCTGTTGTCTGCAAAGATGTTGAGCAGCATGTAGCCATTCTTGAAGATGATGCTAAATTCTTTAAATTGTTGGAACTGCTAGGACATTATCAGGAAGAGGGCAGTATAATAGTCTTTGTTGATAAACAAGAAAACGCAGATATATTACTTAAAGATCTAATGAAAGCATCATATCCCTGTATGAGTTTACATGGTGGTATCGACCAGTTTGATAGAGATTCGACGATTATAGACTTTAAATCGGGAAGAGTGCGTTTACTGATAGCTACATCGGTAGCTGCACGAGGGTTAGATGTTAAAGACCTCATATTAGTGGTTAATTATGATGTACCAAATCATTATGAGGATTACGTTCATAGGTACATTTTACATAAATATCAATTTAAAGTAAATTTTTCGTTTAACAACTTTTTTTTTAATTGACAGATGTGGTCGGACTGGACGTGCTGGAAATAAAGGTGTGGCATGGACTTTCTTAACGAATGAACAAGCCCGATATGCAGGTGATATAATCCGCGCTCTAGAACTTTCAGAAACAGAAGTACCAGAAGATTTGCAAAAATTATGGACAGAATATAAAGAAGCACAAGAAGCAGAAGGCAAGAAAGTTCATACTGGCGGTGGCTTTAGTGGAAAAGGTTTTAAATTCGATGAACAAGAAGCAAATGCGGCTAAAGAAAGCAAAAAGCTACAAAAAGCTGCTTTAGGTTTAGCTGATTCTGATGATGAAGAAGATATTGAACAAGATATAGATCAACAAATAGAACAATTATTTGCAGCAAAGAGAACTGTAAAAGATACTTCTATACCGGTTGTAACATTAGCTTCTACAACAGCAAACACTACAGCTACTGCCGCACCTATAGTAACAATGGCTGGCGGTTCAGACAAACTTGAACTTGCAAAACGTCTTGCTTCGAAAATAAGTACAACTAAAAATCTTGCACCGGAAACAATACTAAAAGGCACTACTACAGCTCCGCCAATATTAACGGCACGAACTGTAGTTGAACAGTTAGCTGCTAAATTAAATAATAAGTTAAACTATCAACCTAAGGATGATGAGGAAGGTATTGCAGGATTAATGCCGAATCAAGCCAACTCATTTACAAAATATGAAGAAGAATTAGAAATAAACGACTTTCCTCAGCAAGCACGCTGGAAAGTTACATCTAAAGAAGCTTTGGCACAAATTTCTGAATATTCTGAAGCAGGTTTAACAGTACGTGGTACTTATGTGCCTACTGGTAAGAATCCGCCAGAAGGAGAACGTAAACTATATCTAGCAATTGAAAGTTGCAGTGAATTGGCGGTGCAAAAAGCAAAACGTGAGATCACACGACTAATAAAAGAAGAATTGCTAAAACTTAGTTCTGCACATCACGTCTTTAACAAAAACAGATATAAGGTTCTCTAGTAGTAAACCTTACAATTATATGAGGAAATGTCGGATTTATCTCATTTCACTTTGTAAGATTATTTAAGTTTTGCATGTGCTTTTTCTACATTAAATTATATATTTAATAAGTAGAAATAAATACATTCGTTTAGATATGAATTTATGTATTTGTTTTGATTTTTATGTTTCTTTTTGGACTTTGGTCAAATTAAACATAATTTATAAACTCGTCTCTATATATTTTTATACAAGGTATAAATACAATATTAAATTGATGGAATAATAAATATTTTATCTCTAGAGAATCCTGACCACATGAACGAAAGAAATCAGTGTTTCTCATTATAAGCGTGCTGATTAACATCAATTGATTGTTCTTTAAAAAGTAAATACCCTAATAAATATTTATAAAATAAAGATAATCAATAAATTAAGAAAATTTTTAGTATGTGGTAGGTACATGCAAATGTAAATAAAGATTGGTAATAGATTATATTAAGTTGATCTAGCTGGCTATGAGAGACCAATTGACTATTGGTCAATACCAGATTGAGTTAGACTATGTAAGTTTATCGTGGATATAATGTAGCATATTACGAATTTAATCTGATTTTTGAAGTGCTATTCATAGAAAGTTGTCATATTGTGCAGCCCCCAAATGTTTTATTGTGATAATCCAGTACTAACAAAAAGAGATGTTTTAGTTTTCTTTACTTTCTGCTTTCCATATTTACCGCATGGGCGGTATTATTGATTTCTATTATGTATAAGTGTCGCTAATAAAAGGTAGCATATTTATCATAGTTTTACTGCTAATATATCCCAAACAAACACCACTGGAACTTTAATCTGTGTCCGATCTCAAAAGACGGTTGTGCTACTAAGCACAGTCCATTTAAGTCCACAAATATTTTAAGTATTCAGTTACTTACTCCTAAATATTATTCATTATCTATTTAACAAAAAAAAGATCCTAAAGAAAATTTATTGTTTCGTTAAGTCCTAATCAATTCTACACAATTTTATTAACCTTACATTGTGACCGAAAAGTTTCCGGAAATTTTAAATAAAACGCAAAATTCTTAATCTTCATCAATATTTATTT